AGTGGTCCAGTCCATTGGCACGGAGATCATTGGTAACCTGCGACCAGAATACAGAGACCGTATCCTTGTGTTTGAGAATGGAACGCTGCTACTCCATAACCTCAAGCTGTCTGATGAGGGCACTTATGAAGTAGGGATCTCCATCACCGATGACACCTTCACTGGAGAGAGCAGCATCAATCTGACGGTGGATGGTAAGAAAAATCAAACATAACACAATCCTAACTGGTATCATAATCTACTTTTAGCAGTAACTCATAACAATAAAACCATGCCTGATGTTTTGCCAGAGCCAATCTCTAAACCACATGTCCACATGGTCACCTCCACCGTGCTGGAACTGACGCAGAATTTCACACTAAACTGCACCCATGAAACAGGCACTAAGACCACCTATGGCTGGGCAAAAGGTGGCCATCCATTACTAAACGAGACCCGGTTGCTGCTGTCCCTGGATCAGAAGGTCCTGACCATCACACGTGTTCAGATGGTTGATGACGACGTCTACAGCTGTATGGTGGAGAACCCTATTAGTAGCATGAGAAGTCTACCAGTCAGACTCACCGTTTACAGTAAGAATGGGTTATTTGAGCATAATTTTACATATTCAGTACATATTTGTGTCATGTTTGTAGTTCTTTAAGAAGTAAAAACGGCTGAAAATGTTCTTCTGTTTCCAGAAAGGAGCACTCTTTATATCATACTGTCTACAGTGGGCATCTTCCTCCTCGTCACCCTTGTAACTGTGTGTGCTTGCTGGAAGCCGTCAAAAAAGTATGACTTTTTTTTCCCCCTTCCCAATGTTGGTGTAAACTGTTTGTCACCACAAATACTTTCATTAACAGATCAAAAAGACTGAAGTCCAAAACTGTTAAACCACGATCCATTCCACAAAATCATCACATCAGGTATCAAGACGTCAAGCCAGAGGGTATGTAATTATGCTGATATCGATTTCATAAGTGTAAATACACACTGGGCAAACAGGCTCATTAATTAAGCTTAAATGAGTTTTGTTAGGAATTAAAATAAATGTTCTAATGTACTGTTGATACCATAAAAAATTATTTTGACTCATGTCTCAGTTTTTTATTTTAAATACTGTACAGCAGACATGCATTTTGTATTTTTATTGATTTTAAAGATTTTTATTTAATTGTATTTTATTAATCCTTCTGTATTAATATAATATAATAATTATGGCAAATTTATCATCACTCCCACAGCCGCTGTATTAGAAACACCCTCAAAGCAGCATTAACTAGTTTTTAGTAATTTGATGCAAAGGTAATATAATACAAAGTATAGTGTTATAATTGTACGTTATTTAAAAAAATATGAAAACTGAAACACATCATCACAGTCTGTGAAAGGGATGCATAATGCTGGAGAGAAAAATTTTTGTTAACTTGAATTAAATTACATTTTAAATTAAATTGTCAGCTAAAATGTGTGATTATTTATTAGTACCACAGAAAATAATTTTGACTCGTCCCTCAATTTTTAAAAACAAGCAAAAATATTGTGTTAGACGTGACATGTGGTGACCCATACTTGGAATTAGTGCTCTGCATTTAACCCATCCAAAGTGCACACACACAGCAGTGAACACACACACACACACACACACACATGCCGTGAACACACACCCGGAGCAGTGGGCAGCCATTTATAAATATATATAAATTATATTCTGTGTTCAGCAGACATGTATTTTTAATTAATGCGTTTATTATTATATTATATTATATTATATTATATTCATTTATGTTTCTAGATGATGCCATCCCAATAATGACTGATCACGAGCGCAGGAATCCTGTATCACTCTACATCTTAAAAGAGAAGGTATTATGACATCATTATTGAATTTCCCTCTCCCAGCACACCTGCTTTATGTTTAAAAATAGCTTTTCAAGTGGATGAGTGGTTCATTACCTCAGTAGAGCTGTCTGTGAGTCAGAGAGCAAAGCTTGAACCCTGACTGCAACATCTCTTTACAGTAGACATTAATATTCATGCTTTCCCCACATATTCTAATATACTGTACAGCAGAATAGGTCATGAGATTATCATATTTCTGTGCTACAAGAGCAGCCTAGAAGTTGCCCGCACCTTCAAGTGCATTGATGTAGGCGTGTGAAGACTGTAAATGTCTGCACTTAATTGACATCCTCAGGATTCTCCTCCCGGCGAACCAGCGTCAACGTGTGAAACATGCACCTCCAACAGCAGCAGCCCTCCGAGCTACAGCAGCTCAGTACCTCCTCCGTCTGACTTGCTTGAGCTGCCAGCGCGCTCCTCTCGCAGATACCCTCGCACCCCCACTAAATCCCCACCGCACCATCGCCGGAGGAAGGGACACAGTCAGAGCCCACCAGCCCCCACCTCGCCCCTCAGCCGAGGGTCTGATCGAGCCTCTCAGCACCCTGCGTGCTCGTCTCCAGCCAGGATGCCTGAGGATCCATCCACCCCTCCACAGGATCCCAGAGGCTCCCCAAAAACATAGATGATAGCACTTACCACATCTGCCGGGCCCACAAGCTGCAAAAATACAGATACTGCACAAATACTTTTGCATTAATGTATGTCTATACCTTTAATGAGTACTGTGAATTCAAACATATTTCTTTTGTCGCAAACTCTTTTTCACTTACTATATAGTAGGGAAGTGAGCGATTTTGGATGCAGCCCAAGTTTAAGGTAGGGTAGCAGTTTCTGCTCTGCTAGTGTCATCTAGCAGAACTCCAAAAATAAAGCAAGTTTTTTCAGGCAACCTTTGCAAACGCCACTCTCCCCCAAAACATCACAAACACAGCTCTTACGGGTCTATAAAAGTGAAGGCATGTCTCAACAGATAAAATTAGGCTACTTTCAACAAAAGATTCAACATATTAGGAATACTTCTAAGTTAAAATATTGAGCTAAAAGTTTTAACTTTCGCTTACCTGTCGTGTCTAGAAGAAACTCATGAGTTTGTCCTATCGACTGAAACCCAAACATTCCGTCAAATTCCTCCATATTCTAAAAACACCAATGTTTACCCTTTTTTAAATGGTTGGCCTGTCTTTGAAGTCTTCTTTTGGCTTCCACTTCAGTAACGGGAATCTGAATGTCTTTTTCCCATGCCTTTATCACACCGGCTAAACACCCTCTGGCTCAGCTACAATAGCCACGCTTCAAGCTCTCGCTATTGGCTGCGTGGAGGTATGTGTACACGTGGAGGTAGGACATCCTATCATTGCATACGGACCACATTTTATGGTCTTGAGCCTTCCATAGGCCCTGTCCCAAATCGCACTGAGCCCTCGCAGTCTTCCTCCCACACTTTCGTGACATAACACTGCTTTGATTGTTGGTTAGAAGTGTACTGCGGAGCTCGCCTCGGAGTGCATGCGTGAGCTCAGAAATATTAAGAAATAAAAATGAATAACAAAAAATAATGAAACAACAAAAACGTTCAAATGCACAGAATTTGAAATCTCCACAACCAGCCAAATCTCCCAAGCAATGCCCTAGCAACCACCTAAATAGGTCTGTATGTGTTCAAACTGCCCAAGCATTCAAACACCACAATTTCAAGGAAAGGCTTTGTCAAGTCAACAGTGAGGTTTTTCTTTCCTTTTCTAGTTTCTCTGTTTCCTTTTTTATTTTAGTGAATGTAAATGACAAGTAGAGTTGATCTGTAATGAAGATGTTAAATAAAAGATTGAGAAAGACCTGAATGCAATCTTTTACATATTTGATTTTGTCCTCTGTTTCTCCTGCTCATAATCTGAACATTATGCAATCGTGTCTCTCTCACTGAAGTTCATACTGTTCCTGAAAAGGGAGAGACAATGTGCATGCTGATTCACACAAAAGACACAGTAGGCTCCTTGTTAGGCATGGGCATGGCCGTTGAGAATGGGCATTGTAAAGGGAGCAGGCTGTTCTTGTGTTGATTCATACTCATGCATAAATGTAGAAGTTAGAGACAGAAACCCAAATAAGCGCAGGGAATGCTAATAGAATACCCTGCGGAAAAACAATGCCTCCACAACAGTTCCAGGCACGAACAAAAGTTTTAAAAGACTGTAAGTGGTGGAGAAAGAAAGAAAGGGTGACTTTTTACAATTCGGATTTTAAAGAAGAGACTAAGGAGACTTAAACTCGCAGTTGCAAAGATAAAAAGTTAGAAGACTCAATTATGTTTTTGTCATTTTATTCCGTGGCTTCCATAAGCAGGAACATTACATAAAAACTATTTTTATAACAACGTGACCATTTCAAGTAATATCTTATAGCAATAGCCTAATAATAATAAATACAACTCCGTTTAAAATTGATACACAATATAAATCAAATGTATAATAAGAATTAGAGGGGTGTGGAATTCTGTGTAAAACCACCATATTTCATTTTAGTCACTGACATTCGTTCAGGTCTCGTGTTAAAATTACACTTGTCATGGAACTAAAACGAGCAGGTATTCTTTTCCCCATCGAACTTACATTTAGGCGCACATCGGGCGTGGCCTAATCGCTACACGATTTGAATGGCGTTACTTTCGACGAATAAAATCTGATCTTTTCAAGCTGTAGCCAATAGAATCATAAATGGGCGGGGCTAAAAGGTTGTGATCCTGTTAGCGTCATTGACAACGGTAACTTTAATTCTGACAAGTTACAGCAGTAGAAATATTAACGCAATTTGCATTAGGACAGTAGAAACAGTAGAGACGTTTTGTTTTTCCTTGAAGGATCGGTGTCTTGCTTGGTAACATCAGTGACTCCCGAAAAGCCATAAATGATAGTAAAACCAATTCATATCTAACGTTACCAGGTTTTACACGAAAATGAATCAAGCAAAAGCAGCTAAAGAAAGGGTTTGCTCGTCGATAACACAAAAGAAGCCCTTAAAAGAAAATAAAAGGATAACCTCTGGAAACAGGAGAAAGGCCACAGATGTGAGAGTGTTGGCAGAGAGGAACCCGGCCGTGGCACCTGTGTAGCGTCATTGACAACGGTAACTTTAATTCTGACAAGTTACAGCAGTAGAAATATTAACGCAATTTGCATTAGGACAGTAGAAACAGTAGAGACGTTTTGTTTTTCCTTGAAGGATCGGTGTCTTGCTTGGTAACATCAGTGACTCCCGAAAAGCCATAAATGATAGTAAAACCAATTCATATCTAACGTTACCAGGTTTTACACGAAAATGAATCAAGCAAAAGCAGCTAAAGAAAGGGTTTGCTCGTCGATAACACAAAAGAAGCCCTTAAAGGAAAATAAAAGGATAACCTCTGGAAACAGGAGAAAGGCCACAGATGTGAGAGTGTTGGCAGAGAGGAACCCGGCCGTGGCACCTGTAGGTGTTTGGGTAGAGAGCGGAGATGAGAGTCTGGAGCACCCCGCGGTAAGGACTTGCAGTAACATGAGAGCTGTGTAGAGATGCTGCTGAAAACGAGCTTCCTTGACTGCCACTTTCCACTAATACGGTACACGTTGGTGTCTCATTAAGTGTACACACAGCAGGTGATTTTGGTCTAGGGGCTCTTAATCCTGGTCCTGGGGACCCCCTGCTCTGCCTCCAAAACATTATGTTTGTCCCTCTCATCTGACACACTCAGGTCAGCTCATGGATCTGTCTCTTAACGAGCTGATGATCTGAATCGGGTGTGTTTAATAAGGGAGACAAGCAAAATGTGCAGAGCAGTGGGTCCCCAGGACCAGGTTTTGGTCTGTCCCACATTAGAAGGGACATTTATAGGAAAAGGGGAAGGTAACAGTAATCACAAACCAACATTTGGGCCCAAAATAGCTATAGCTGCTACTGAGTAAAATCTAAATTTTGGTTAAAAGACCTCTCTCTCTCTCTCTCTCTCTCTCGCTCTCTCTCTCAATTCAGTTCAATTCAGAATTGCTTTATTGGCATGACTGTAAATTATACAATATTGCCAAAGCTTAGTACACATGTACAAAAAGATTAAAAAAATAATAATAATATAATAATAATAAGTAAATGAACATCACAGTGATATAATGGAATATTATAACATCTTAGAAGTATTAAACTATAACAAATTATAACATGTGAACATTTGATATTAGAAGTATTAAACTGTAACAAAATATAACATGTGAACATTTGATACCACAGTCTTTAACTTACATAGAAACACATCAATACTTCAGATCACTGTGGTGGACAGTATGACACACTGAGGTCAGACACAACACACATTCATCTGCTGTCTCTCTCTCACTCACACATACACACACACACACACACACACCCACACACACATTCACCTGCTGTCTCTGTCTCACTCACACATACACACACACACACATTCACTTGCTGTCTCTCTCTCACTCACACGTACACACACACACACACACATTCACTCGCTGTCTCTCTCTCACTCACACACACACACACACACTCACTTTCTGTCTCTCTCTCACACACACACACACACCCCCACACACATTCACCTGCTGTCTCTGTCTCACTCACACATACACACACACACACATTCACTTGCTGTCTCTCTCTCACTCACACGTACACACACACACACACACATTCACTCGCTGTCTCTCTCTCACTCACACACACACACACACACTCACTTTCTGTCTCTCTCTCACACACACACACACACCCCCACACACATTCACCTGCTGTCTCTGTCTCACTCACACATACACACACACACACATTCACTTGCTGTCTCTCTCTCACTCACACGTACACACACACACACACACATTCACTCGCTGTCTCTCTCTCACTCACACACACACACACACACTCACTTTCTGTCTCTCTCTCACACACACACACACACCCCCACACACATTCACCTGCTGTCTCTGTCTCACTCACACATACACACACACACACATTCACTTGCTGTCTCTCTCTCACTCACACGTACACACACACACACACACATTCACTCGCTGTCTCTCTCTCACTCACACACACACACACACACTCACTTTCTGTCTCTCTCTCACACACACACACACACCCCCACACACATTCACCTGCTGTCTCTGTCTCACTCACACATACACACACACACACATTCACTTGCTGTCTCTCTCTCACTCACACGTACACACACACACACACACATTCACTCGCTGTCTCTCTCTCACTCACACACACACACACACACTCACTTTCTGTCTCTCTCTCACACACACACACACACCCCCACACACATTCACCTGCTGTCTCTGTCTCACTCACACATACACACACACACACATTCACTTGCTGTCTCTCTCTCACTCACACGTACACACACACACACACACATTCACTCGCTGTCTCTCTCTCACTCACACACACACACACACACTCACTTTCTGTCTCTCTCTCACACACACACACACACCCCCACACACATTCACCTGCTGTCTCTGTCTCACTCACACATACACACACACACACATTCACTTGCTGTCTCTCTCTCACTCACACGTACACACACACACACACACATTCACTCGCTGTCTCTCTCTCACTCACACACACACACACACACTCACTTTCTGTCTCTCTCTCACACACACACACACACCCCCACACACATTCACCTGCTGTCTCTGTCTCACTCACACATACACACACACACACATTCACTTGCTGTCTCTCTCTCACTCACACGTACACACACACACACACACATTCACTCGCTGTCTCTCTCTCACTCACACACACACACACACACTCACTTTCTGTCTCTCTCTCACACACACACACACACCCCCACACACATTCACCTGCTGTCTCTGTCTCACTCACACATACACACACACACACATTCACTTGCTGTCTCTCTCTCACTCACACGTACACACACACACACACACATTCACTCGCTGTCTCTCTCTCACTCACACACACACACACACACTCACTTTCTGTCTCTCTCTCACACACACACACACACCCCCACACACATTCACCTGCTGTCTCTGTCTCACTCACACATACACACACACACACATTCACTTGCTGTCTCTCTCTCACTCACACGTACACACACACACACACACATTCACTCGCTGTCTCTCTCTCACTCACACACACACACACACACTCACTTTCTGTCTCTCTCTCACACACACACACACACCCCCACACACATTCACCTGCTGTCTCTGTCTCACTCACACATACACACACACACACATTCACTTGCTGTCTCTCTCTCACTCACACGTACACACACACACACACACATTCACTCGCTGTCTCTCTCTCACTCACACACACACACACACACTCACTTTCTGTCTCTCTCTCACACACACACACACACCCCCACACACATTCACCTGCTGTCTCTGTCTCACTCACACATACACACACACACACATTCACTTGCTGTCTCTCTCTCACTCACACGTACACACACACACACACACATTCACTCGCTGTCTCTCTCTCACTCACACACACACACACACACTCACTTTCTGTCTCTCTCTCACACACACACACACACCCCCACACACATTCACCTGCTGTCTCTGTCTCACTCACACATACACACACACACACATTCACTTGCTGTCTCTCTCTCACTCACACGTACACACACACACACACACATTCACTCGCTGTCTCTCTCTCACTCACACACACACACACACACTCACTTTCTGTCTCTCTCTCACACACACACACACACCCCCACACACATTCACCTGCTGTCTCTGTCTCACTCACACATACACACACACACACATTCACTTGCTGTCTCTCTCTCACTCACACGTACACACACACACACACACATTCACTCGCTGTCTCTCTCTCACTCACACACACACACACACACTCACCCGCTGTCTCTCTCTCTCTCTCTCTCTCTAAAACTTAAGCTTATTTAATTTCACCTAGTTGCTGAGACAAGATTTCTATTTTTACTAAAGTACTAAAACTGAAAAAGTACTAAAACTAAGGACATATTTAATAATAATAACAATAATAATAATAATACAAATGACAAAACACAACCAAACTGCATGAAAATGGAAAAATAAAAACTAATTTAAAATCTTAATAAAAATGATAATAGTATGTGATACTAAAATACCACTGGTCATTATTTATTATTATTATTTATTTATTTATTTTTTCTTTTGAATTGTTATGTTCTTTTTTATTTTTATTGTACTTTAAAAATATATATTATTTATTTTTAAGCTTTTTTTTTTTTAGATATATCCCAAATTAGGGTTACACAAATTGCAAACCCACATAAATACACTCAAATAAAATGACCTCTTGAGAATGATGTTCCTACTAATGGGCACCTGATGAAGACAGCTTAATTCATAGCCACACATGTCTCTTACATGTAACCCTGTGTGTGTGTGTGTGTGTGTGTGTGTGTGTGTGTGTTTGTGTGAGGAAGGTCCGGGCTTTGCTCACAGAAGAGTTTCTGGAGGAGACTCGACGAGAGAAAGAGGAGAGTCTGCGCCGATTTCAGGATGCAGTTCGTGAACGTGTGTCGCAGCAGGCCTGTCTGCGCAAACAACAGCAGCTACTGAAATCATATGAGACAGTAAGAAAACATACAAATCCTGTGCTCTTTTGAAATAGATCTATTGATTATGTTAAATAAGCTATTATCTAGCATAAACTTTACACTGCTGTTCAAAAGTTTGGTGTCTAAGATTTGTTTTAATGTTTGTGTATAAAGTATAATATTTACTAATTTACTAGCATTTACTAATATTTTTAATTAGCTTTCATTTTTACATTTTTATTTTTATTGTACTTTAGTTTTAGTAATTTTTTAATGTACTTTTATCATTTTTATTAGTTTGTTTATATATTTCTATTTACCTTTAATTATAATTTATTTCAGTTTTAGTACTTCAGATTTTTATTATATTGCCATGGCAATATTCCAATTTTTTTAATTGAAAGCGTTTCATCTATTATTTGTTTTATTTTTACTTTAATTTCACATATTGAAAATGTATTTTAATAGTTTTAGTTTAGTTAATATCAACATTGATTAAAAAAAAATGTTTACCCCAAACTTTTGAACGGCAGTGTACATGGTATTAGAGTAGCTAGTTTTAAACACAAAATATTTGTGGAAAATGTCTTTAGCTACAACAACCATACGTTTGTCTGAATGGCTGTATGCAAGTCATGTCACCTTATTCTTAAAAAAAGGGACTGGTTTTGCTTTACTTGAAACTTTAGATGGCAGTGAAAAGTCCAAATTTGTCCTAACAAATGCTTAAATACCCACAATCAAAAAGTTATTTGTGTGAACACTATCTTCAGGTTGAGTGTGAGAGCAAAGTATCGCAACTAACCAGCAAAGCAGCCCCTCGTCTTACACCTCAAACCAATTTATTCCCTTCCTGGACACATGGGGAGCGAGCAATCTGCAGTCCCAGCTCTTGCAGTGTCAGCGCTCGGGGGACGGAGGCTGTTTCTTCACATCACCATACACATAATATACGGGTATTTACAGAGCATGATCCTTATACATCTACGTGGATCATTTTGCTCGTGTGATTTGGCAGAATGTAGCTGTAAGGGTGAGTTTCTTTACGTTTGTCTAGGTCAGTAAAGTCAGGAAGCAGGTGAGACACAGACTAGCCGCTCGTCAGACAGTACAAGAGGGTGATGAACTCTCACAGCTACCTGGTGGGAGCTGGAAACTATCCCCAGCTAGAGATGTGAGTCATGCATGATGCATTTGGGTCATTTCTGAGACCTGAACGTTCAGTGTTGCAGTATTAATATCTTCGCTTTTTGTTATGTATAGAAACCTGAATCACACACTGGGGGAGATCAGAAGGATACTGAAGGTACAAATTATGGAGGAGAGGAATACGAGCAGGATGTTGAAGTGGAAGATGAGATGCTGTTGGGGCAACATGATCAACCTCTTGATTTGCATCGCCACAGAAGCAAGACTGTAACTTTTCAGAACGAAATGGTAAGGAAGATCTTGTGTGGCCTTAAATATAGTCTCGTATGGGGCACATCCACATTCATTAGACATACAGTGTAAAAAAAATTAATAACTGCAAGGCTTTGCTTACAAGTGACCTGGCTGCTACTGTACAATTCAATAAGTGCTTCTGCGGAAGAACCAGTATTTTGCAAAGTTTCTGAGATTTGTGAGAACAACATTAGATTTTGTTTCTTTTGTGTGTTATGTTGTCAATCTTTAAGATGACACAAGTATTATCATCCTTTATGAGGAATCCTTCCTAAAACATCCCTTAAACATTCGTCTTTAAACATCATGTAAAAAACTGACTGATGGTTTTACATATAGCTTATGCTGCTCCTTGTTTAAGTGGCTGCTTCAGAATAATTATATACTTTCTGAATCAGCGCTGTTTGAGCACACCAAATTACATTTATGACATTTTCAACAAATTGTGATATTACATAATGTAACACAATGCCTTTTATATTCATTCAGGGAAGTTGTGGCCTAATGGTTAGAGAGTCGGACTCATAACCCAAAGGTTGCGGGTTCGAGTCTCATACAGGCAGGGATTGTAGGTGGGGGGAGTGAATGTACAGCGCTCTCTCCCACCTTCAATACCACGACTGAGGTGCCCTTGAGCAAGGCACCGAACCTCCAAATAAATGGCATAATGGTTCACGGTGTGTGTGTGTTCACTTAGGATGGGATAAATGCAATGGGTCACCATACTTGGCCACATGTCACGTCACATTAATACTGTACATGTTGGTGTCTCTACAGGTATATGAGCCAGACGAGCCAGACACTGTTTCCTTCACAACTGACTACAGAGCTTCCCAAGTGCTTTGGCCTCATGACCATCAGGAGGAGCTGAAGAGGCAGGTAGGGAATCATGCTTTATTTAGAATGGTGTCTCCTCTTTTTATTAGGGAGATCAATGTAGAGTTTAATATTTGCAGCAGTGAAAGTAAATATCTGATTGTAAGCAAATTAAACTGAAAAACATAATTCATATGTACATTACCATTCAAATTTTTTAAAAAGAAGCCTATTATGCTTACCAAAGCTGCATTTATTTGATCAAAAAAATTGTTAAAAACAGTAATATTGTGAAATATTATTACAATTTAAATATTTTACTATGTATTTCAAAATAAAAAAAATCAGTGCCACATGATCCTTCAGAAATCATATGCTGATTTGGTGCGCAAGAAGCATTTCCTCATTTTCATTGTTGAAACATTTTCGGTGTGCTGCATAATATTTTTATGGAAACCATGATATCGTTTTTTCAGGATTCTTTGATGAAGAAAAGAGCATTTATTTAAAATAGAAATTATTTGATTGTTGAATAGATGTAATAAATGTATAAATTATTTTGAATGTTAAATAAAATGCCCATGTCACTTTTGATCAATTTAATGCATGAATAAATGTTTTATTTATAGTTCGCTGAATAAATGTATTATTTTTATTTCCAAAAAAAACAGCTGACCCCAAACTTCTTCTTGCTTTGATTTCGGTGTAATCTCTCTTCTTGCCAAAAAATATAGTTTTCTTCAAAGTGCTAACTGTGTTGTTTCAGAGGCAGTCTCAGTTCCTCATGTATCGACGGCACTTCATGGACACTGAGCGAGAGCAAGTGAAGGAGCACCGAAGGCACAGGAAACATCTGAAGAGAACTGCGAGGTCAAACCTCACCACATGTTTACAAGTATCTTCTCTACAACAGCATCACATTTACGTTCTTTATTTCACTGCTACTAAAAAAGATGTCTATTTGCATACCTTTCCGCGTGATGGTTGCTCACTTCTCTTTTGGTTTCTCTGGTGTAGTCAGGCTAAAGTAAATAGTTTACATGACTGACTAGTTACTGTAAAATAATGATAATAATGGACAAAAAATAAGACCGTTAGAATAATTGCTAGGTCTTTGTCACAAAGACCAATATAAAAAAGGCATGACTTTTAATCAAAAATGTCACTCCTATAACAAGTACACATAGTTTTAAGTTCCTAACTATTATACTTTTTCCTGTAACTCAACTGGTAGAGCACGACGCTAGCAGTATGAAATTCAAGGGTTGGATTCCCAGGAAAAGACACATGTTAAAATGTTTACCCTTTATTAATGATATAGAATTAGCTAAAAAACATAAATTGTTTCAAACTTAATTTATAAGTATATGCACATATTATGTACAATTAATTTAAATGTAATTTAAAGTAACCTGTCCTTAAGCTTGAGTGAAGTGTACTATTGAGGCAAGTAACCACCCATCATTTTTCTTTCATTAAGTTGTCCAAGAACACAAAAGACTTCATGTTGCACTTTATATTAATACTTTCTTTTATAAACTCAGAGAACGTTTTTCTGTGTGTAGCATTAAGAATGAAAAAGAGCAACTCAGGAAAGCGGAGGAGAAGAAGATGGAGAGGCAGCGACAGCAGGAGGAAGAAAGAAAAGACATGGCTGAGAGGGAGTATTTGATTTTGGAGCGATTGAGGCTTGATGAGGAGGAGGCAGCAGAGAAGGTAGAGAGACGAGAGAAAACAAAGAGCATCAGAGAAAGCAAACGGTACATACTGCCAATATATGGCACAAGTCATCTTGTTATGAGTATGTTCATTATAACCATAAATACACTAAAAGTTTGGGGTGGTAACTTTAAAAAAATTAAATAAAAATCACACCATGCACACCAAGACTTCATTTATTTGATCACAAGTACAGTAAAAACAATAACATTGTAAAATATGATTAAATTAAAATCGAACTGTTTAGCTGTTTTCTATTTTAAAATGTATTATAAAACGGATAGTTCCGGTCCTTGATTCTGATTGGCTGAGCCACATTCGAAGCTGTTGTAAATTACTCTACAAACATACACCTTTGTTTACTTTGTGTGTTGGCAACCACTTTGTTGCAACCACAACTGATTCCGAGGAACTACATTGTTTGGTGGAAGAATACTGTTTTTATTAATATCATTACACTTCATTTGCCCTGTTTTATTTTGTGAAACCTTACTACATATATGGAATAACCATTTTATAAAAGCAATAAGCCCTGTGAAGCCGTGGTTTACAGTGAATTTATAACAGCTAAGGGGGTTTTACAACGCCCCTTAGCTGTTATAAATTCACTGTAAACCACGGCTTCTTGGGGCTTATTGCTTTATTTTATTCCTGTGATGGCAAAGCTGAATTTTTAGCAGTCATTACTCTAGTCTTCAGTGTCACATGATCCTTCAGAAATTAATCTAATAATATAATATATGTATATAATAAATGTTTCTTCAACATATTAAATATGTTGATTTACTGCTGTAGAAACATTTATTAATTATCCTTGATACATTTTTTTCAGGATTCTTTGATCTATAGAAAGTTCAAAAGAACAACGTGCAATTAAAATACAAATCTTTTGTAACATTATAAATGTCTTTACTGTCACTTTTGATCAATGTAATGCTTCCTTGCTGAATAAAAGTATTAAAACTACTTACTGATCCCAAATCTGTCGTGGGGATCAGTCGTGGCCTAATGGTTAGAGAGTCGGACTTGTAACCCACAGGTTGCGGGTTCGAGTCTCAGTGTTTGTTCACTACTCACTGCTGTGTGTGTGCACTTGGATGGGTGAAATGCAGAGCATAATTCCGAGGATGGGCCACACATCCTTTCCTTTTCAAATGTTTGAATGGTAGTGTACATCACAACATAAACAAAGTAGTGTACATAAGCATAAACAAAACATAAATACACCATAACATCTATAGTTTTACATTCAGTAGATCTGAATAGTGTTCTAATCATATGTAAAGAGCTGTCGTGGTGTGTGATGATTCTGTGACAGGTACATTGAGGCCATGCAGGCTCTAATGAAAAAGAAGCTGGAGAAGGATCATGTTGAACTCCCTCCTCTGTGCTGCTGTGGAGACACTTTCTGGGACAGCCATCCTGATACCTGCGCCAACAACTGCATCTTCTACAGCAATCCTAAAGGTAAACTGCTCACTCTGTGTCCATTTCATTTCATATTTAAGGATAATTATAGAGTATTCAGCTTCTCCTTGTCTTGATAGACTGTGCATTGTGTAATTCAGATGTTTTTGTTCTAACAAGCAACAAGTGACACAATATTTTCTTGGTTGCTTGGTTCCTATTTCTGTGGCATTGTGTGGGAAGGCCCCGCCCACAGAGAAATATCATTGGGCCTTAATCCTGCTCCTCATAATTGAACATCAAAAATGTTCTGATTGTGTTGCTGGAAACTTGTCATATCTGTTTTTATGTCGTAAATGATCTTACTCACAGTACCATGACTTGACAGACAATGCATGTGGGGCCTCTGTCACAACTGATGTCTTTTGTTTTTCCACTTTCCATGACATAGTATAGCGGTACATATTTTAGACAGTGTGAAGTTCAATCTACATTTTCAGAGTAACTTGCCCAACACTGGTTAAGAAACAGTCATGAAAGTGTTCTTCTACAAGTAGAGTTTTTTAAGTATACTTTTAAGACCCGAGGTACACTACAAGTGCACATTCAATATATGCACACTTCTTCATCGCAAGGGAAATCTTGGCCACATTGCTCAACGTTTTTTGACACTGACGTTCATTCAACTTTTGAGTTTATTTATTGGTCATTTATGATTGTTTTCTGCAGTTTATGCTCAGGCTCTGCAGTCTGTCTTGCTAAGCTGTGATCTGAAGGAAGGAGGCTTTGGACAGTATGCGTCCACCTGGAAGGCATCCTCTATGGATGTTCATTCTCAAAGGAAGTGATTGCAGTCCATCTTTAGAGTCATTATTGAACATGTTTTAAGATTGGACAGCCTGAAGTGTAATGTTGAAATAACGTAATGATTCCATGGTGTGATATTTTTTTATTGTACTCATAAATGGTTTTAAAATACCTGACATATCTAAATGTAACCAGCATTTTTACTGTTTTAATAAACCTTACTGAACTGAGAAATTCAACTGCTGTGATTGTTTATTGTGTCATAACTTGGTTTTCTTAACCTAAATGCACCTAAATGTGTATGTGACTTTTGTACACTTATTCAGCCATTATCCACAAAGTTCCTGATCATATGCTTCAGGGTTGAGAAGTCAGAAACAGAATGGCAGTCAGATTTATTTATGTCTTTGTCTGTGGAAATAAGAAGTATTCATTTCCATTCCAGAAAGCAACGTCCTAGTTTCTAGTCAAATGTAGGTTATGTTTAGTTTGATACATAAAACTTTCAGTTTGATATACTGCACATATAACAACTATATCATACTGGCATTTCAGTGTAAACAGATGCCCATGAACTGAAAATATTTGTGCAGTTTATATACAGATTTGCACACACAGATTTGGCATGAAAACTATTAAAAAGTATTAAAAAAAACAGTGTTTAAAAACTTTTTAACAGGGTTTTTTCAGGGAAATAAGCCCTCGACTATGTGTTACAGTGATTTCATCATAATTAAGGTTTTTACACCTGCTAAAATCACTGTAACTGACAGTGCTGTATTGCTTTAATACAGGACCCCTAAACCACAATAGGCCAGGGTTTGCCAAAATGGGGTTCGCGAGCCCCTGGCAGTTCCTGAGGAACTGCAGGGGATTTGTGAGTTCATGAAATTATAATTATTAACTAAATCATACAAAATTAAAATAAAATCATATTAAAATACTAACAATCAAAATGAAACTTCCAAAACAACTAAAGATTCAATATTTTATTTGTTTGCCTGGATGCCATGTCACCATTAACCGACATCAGAGAATTGTGAACATGCGACAGTTTTGCTGAACTATGGAAAATTAACTTACAGTCTAAGAGGATACTTCATAAATATTCACTAAATAATCAACTAAATATTTTAGGCCAAATGGGTTCGGATGCCAAAAAGAAAAGAAAAAAAAAAGCCAGAAAAGCTGTATAATTTTTAAAAATTTTATTATAATATACGAAACACAGAATGACATTAATATACTACATGCCAGGGAGCAAGAAAAGAACGTACCTTTTAAAAAGATTCACAGTTTGTACAGCTTCCTTATTGGAAGAGTCCGAAATCAAATGCATATACAGTTTTAACACTTCCAGAAAAAGTGTATTTTTTTGTATATGTGTACAAAATATTTGGCGAGAAACAAAATGAGATTGAATAAATAAAAAAAACAGCTGATTGTCCTCTTTCAAAATGTGTAGAACCCAGAATAACATTTTCATATTTCAATGACATTTCAGGAATTGTACCACCAAAAAATACTCCAAATGTTTAGAAAAGCTGTATCCACCTTTTTCTTCAACGCGGAAGTAAGCCTATGGGTGAGACTTCCGGTTCATTAGCCGCTATAGGTAAATAACCAGGAGAATAGGGTATATGTCGAACATCACCTGACCAAACCCGGAAAACAGGGGTCTCATTGCTTCCGCTGGTCGGAGAACGTGTTAACAGCCGTATTAAATAATAGCGATATCTATGGACTTTTAAGATAATCAGTTAAACTAGCTAGCTGTTTTTATTGTTGACGTTTTATTCCATTCCAGGGGAAGTCGTGGCCTAATGGTTAGAGAGTCGGACTCATAGCCCAAAGGTTGTGGGTTCGAGTCTCGTACCGGCAGGGATTGTAGGTGGGGGGGAGTGAATGTACAGCACTCTCTCCCACCTTCAATACCACAACTGAGGTGCCCTTGAGCAAGGCACCGAATCCCCAACTGCTCCCCGGGCGCCGCAGCATAAATGGCTGCCCACTGCTCCGGGTGTGTGTTCACGGTGTGTGTGTGTTCACTGCTGTGTGTGTGCACTTTGGATGGGTTAAATGCAGAGCACTAATTCCAAGTATGGGTCACCATACTTGGCCACATGTCACTTCATTTTTATATCTAAATGGGAAAAGAATAAAAATAAAAAAAACTTTTAGATATCAGTCCGCATATGTTATGGACATTGGTTATGATCATCATTGGTATCTACTTTGAAGGCATCTCGAGTAAAACGGCTTCATATTTAACTAAGCATATGCAAAACGTTTGAACCGGAAGTTAACAGAATACGGAAGTCTGTTGCGCATAAAACTGTAAAACTCGTGCAGTAAACGGTAAAACTGTTTGCACTACAAACCAGTGTGTTAATAATTTAAGATAATACATTAAAAGAATATGATAAGACACACCAACTTTCAATATCATGCAGCAAAACAAACAGTTTTGTTCAGCTAAAAATAGCTGGACGGAGTAGACGCAGATGAGACCGGAAGCCAGACCCATATAATTTACAAATGGCCGCGCCCATTTTTTACGACAAGAAAAAGGTGGCTAACGAAGGGTTAAGTTCAGCCCTGGCGATGACGTCATTCTGCATCACATGTCCACGCCGCCAGATCCAGTTTAGTGTTTGTCGCAAGTTAACCCCGTATGGAAAATGGAGACGCTACACCAGGACAGGACGAGCTAAAGATCAATTAATGCTCATGTGATGTTTTTTTTTTTTTTTTTTTTTACACCCAGACAAACCGGTATTAATAGCATCCGGCTTTCCGTCAGACGAACCACCGGTCAAGGCAAGGCAACCATGGAAATCTTTGGGAATTTCGAGCGCATTGAGGTTTTTCCACCTCTGGAAGTGGGAAATGACAACACGTCTCCGATACTTTAAATGCAACTTCTAGGACTGCCGGCTTTCGACATGATTAAAAAGTACTCGTAGTTTTAGGTCGTGAGAAATGAGCGCAGACTGGTCTGAGACACAAAACGATTAGTCAGCTAGTTTCGTTGTATATTTTAGTTGTTCTTGGTTTTAATTTTTAATAAACTTGCGTTTTTAGAAATCGATATGAGATTTTTTAGATATAATTTATAACGTCAGTGATATTGTAGTTACACTTTTTTTTTTTTAGTTACAATTTTTTTGCTACGAGACAAATAGCAGTAACTGTAAAAATGAGATCTCTGGCCCCGGGAATCAAACTCATTACCTCTTTCTCTAGAGACAGCTGGTGAGTAACAGGCCTATGTAAACACAACATACTTAAATACACATAACATGCTCTGATGTTAAATCTAGCCCATCATGTGGGGTTTTATTGTATGGTTTTTGTTAATGCTATTGATTTTAAGCCCTGCTTAAAAGTTCCTCTTTAATCATCTGTTTTCAGTCAGTGCTAATACACATTTCAACGTGTTAAATATTTGCTTACTATAGGGATTGAACCACAATTTATATACACACAACTTAATTTATTTTTGTTTAGGGTTAGGATTAATCTTCAATCACAATTATACATGCTTTATGAATATATGCGTACCTCATGAATGGGAAATCTGTTGAAGCACAGTACTGTGACTTAATGTTAGTGGTTTCTGTTTGCAGCATGCATAGCCCTCAAAACTGATGTACACAGTGTTAAGCGTGCTTCCCCCACAGGAAATGTACAAAAAAAATCGTATAAATCATTCAGTGTGTGTGTGTTTGCCTTAGGTGAGGCTGTTTTCCTGCAGACGTAATGTGGTTTCATGTCTATCAGTGCCTGACTGGTTTATTTAAGACTGCAAACACCTCCAGCTTCTGTCAGGCTTAACCACCGTTGATGCTTTTTGACTTGTGAATCTTTTTATTAAAGAACTTATTCCTTTTGACAAGGTACCGGTTCTTCATCCTCATCCTCACGTTTGTCTTCTATACCACCTACCACCTCTCTCGAAAGCCTATCAGTATCATCAAGGTAATAAAAGTCTGGAAACTAAACATTAACTAGCTGCGTGATAGGCCTAACCTGAAAAGAAGAACTGCAACAAAGAGCTTTTTTTGTTGTTGTTGTTATACTGATCAATCACATGATTGCATTTGCATGTAATAAATTAAGTGTAAAATGTTAAATGATACATTTGTACATCTTTTTGTTGTTGTTGTGACAGAGCCAGCTGCACAGAAACTGCTCTGATGTTATTCATCCAGCAGATCTCAACATCACTGACAATGACACCTGGTGTGATTGGGCTCCTTTTGGTGAGTTTGATTCTTTTCTTAAAATATTTTGTTTTGTAGCTGATATAATATCTGTCAGTGTACCTTAACTGTGCTAATATAAAGTAAGACCTGTCCTGCGTTTCATCCCTCTGCCAAAGACTCTTATGCTCACATTTATTTTATCAAAAAATACAGTAAAAACTGTTATATGGTGACATATTATTACAATTTAAAATATCTGTTTTGTATTGTAATATATTTTAACGTGTATTTTATTCCTGTGACCGCAAAGCAGAATTTTCTAATATGCTGATTGGGTGCTCAAAAAAAAACTTTTCTCATTATTATTATTATTAGGGATGCACCGATTTATCGGCCGCCGATATTTATCGGCCGATTTTTCCTCAATTTACAACCGTCGGCTATATAAGGGAAAAGGCCGATATAACAAACCGATGGTTTATTAATTAACTGCGTGAAGGCACTGAGTCTGTTGCATAATCCTAGCGCTGCTGTCTGCTCTTTAATGCTAATCAAATAACAAAAGACTATAAAGATCGCACACTATTCTTGACTAAATAACATTTGTAACTTTCATAAGTGTAGCGGACCTCATCTGAATGTTGACCAAAACTTTATTGTTGTTTTATTACGTTTATTGCATCCTTTTTCACTCCAAAATAATCACTGTAAGACAAAACATTAAACTCTCTCTCAGTTGCATTTATTAAATTTTAAATGGATCCAATCCATGTTCATTAGAAATTATTTGATGCAGCAATAAAACTGCTAGTATAATTTAATGCAGGTGTTTTTGAACTTTGCTGATTTAAAACATGTTCAAAATGCTATCTATTTTGATGGCAAAATTTCAAATAAGAGAGGAAGTGACAAATATCGGTATCGGAATCTGCCAATAAGTGTTTGTTAAAATCGGTATCGGTATCGGCCCCAAAAAATCCTATCAGTGCATCCCTAATTATTATCAGCATTGAAAACAGTTGTGCTATTTATTATTTTTGTGGAAACTGATACATTTTGTTTAGCATTCAGAAGAACAGCATTTATTTTAAATGGACATCTTTTGTAAGATTATAAATGTTTTTTCTTGCTGAAGAAATGTATTATTCCTTAAAAAAAAACTTACTGAGTCTCAACTCTCAGTGGTAGTTTATATTAACCCATCAACGCATTTCTTTTTTTTTAAATTCAGATCAGAACAATTACCAGAACCTGTTTGGAGTGTTGGACAACTGCTTCCTTGTTGCTTATGCTATTGGCATGTTCTTTAGGTATGATATTGGATTTTCTTGGTTAGACTTTCTTGCTTAATGTGTTTTGCTTGAAGTATAGCACCTGGTTTTGAAATATGTTTGACAGTGGGATGTTTGGAGAGCGATTGCCTTTGCGTTACTACCTGAGCTCAGGAATGATTCTCAGTGGCCTTTTCACTGTTCTGTTTGGCCTGGGCTTTTACTGGCAAATCCACTCTTTGTGGTATTACTGCTTAGTTCAGGTAAGTTAGTTCTCTTTTATAAATTTAAACCAATGTATTTCCAAAAGGTGTGTCAGTCCATCAAAACTTCATTTAAAGTACCAGAGAGCGAGTCCCAGAATTTCACAATGTGAAACCAAAAAAACTGAAGTTAGTCTTTTCCAATGGCACGTTTCTTGTCAGGAGTTTTCAAAGTGAAATTTAAAGTATTTTTGCATATTATCAAATAACAACCTTATCAGTGCATGATTGAGATGAGCACATCATCTTTTTTCTCTTTTCTTAGCCCATTGTAGTCCAGTCTTACTGATCCAGAGTTAATTCATAGTAAACCTTGAGTCATGTTGGAGTGAGTCACATGGATAACACATGACTGAATCAGGCGGATTACTTTACTTCTTGAACATGTCAAACCCATGTGCTCAGCAGACTTGCTGAATACTATGTTTTTCCTTTACAGGCCTTAAATGGGCTGGTGCAGACTACAGGCTGGCCGGCAGTGGTAGCGTGTGTTGGGAACTGGTTTGGGAAGGGAAAGTAAGTGACTGTTGTGTTATTTGCTGCTTGCTCAGTTTGTGAGCTGTTGACAGTGCAGAATTGTATCTGCATTTTTTTTCTTTTTTCTTTTTACAAAAGCAACTAAATGCAGATCTAAATGATCTCACTTGCTGCCACAATCCATAACTTGTCTGTTATGAACTGTGCTTTTAAATCAACATGAAACCACAATTGGAACCCGTTTTACTACAGTAATATGACAAATGTCAGAGTGAAACAGGATATTTCACAAGAAAATGCATGGCAGGTCTTGACTTTATCTATCAGGAATTGATTGCATGGTAAAAACTGGGTATTTAATTTTAAAACCAAGCCAGATATCAGCTTTAGTTAGCAAAACAATTCCTAAATCACTATTTACTAACGTTTTCTAATAGTCTGCATGGCCTAAGAGTATAAGGCAGAGCAAGTTATTAGACTTTATTTTAAGCAACTTCATTGATGAATTGTGCACAATAAGATACATGTGCAAAAGTTTGGGATCAGTAACTGACCAGAAATGACAGTGCAGTAATGTATGATGTTACAAAAGATTTCTATTTCAAACATGATTTGAACAGATTTTTTTGATTATAAAGTTTAAAAGCATTATTACAGTTTCCACAATTATATTAAGCAGCACAACAATTTTAAGATGAAGAAGAATAAATGTTTCTTCATGATTTCTGAAGACACACGTGACACTGAAGACTGGAATAATGCCTGCAGAAGATTCAGCTTTGCCTTCACAGAAATAAATTACACTTTAAAACAGGGGTGCCCAACCCTGCTCCTGGCGATCGACTGTCCTGCGAAGTTCAGCTCCAACCCTAATCAAACACACCTGAAGCAACTAATTAGGGTCTTCAGGATCACTTAAAAATTAAAGGCAGGTGTCTTTGATTAGAGTTGGAGCTAAACTTTGCAGGACAGTCGATCGCTAGGAGCAGGGTTAGGCACCCCTGCTTTAAAATATATTAAAATAGAAATATTTCACAATCTTGCTGTTTTTACTGTATTTCTGAGCACATGAATGCAACCTTGGTGTGTATAAAAGACTTAAAAATTAAAAATACAATCCTCAAAATTTTAAATGGTTGTGTATTAATAAGTTGGTTTCATGTTGACTGTAATGTTCCAAAAGTCAACGTTCAAAATTCAGAATGATGCTCTGTTCATGCAGGCGTGGATTCATCATGGGGATCTGGAACTCTCATACCTCAGTAGGAAACATTCTGGGCTCCCTCATTGCTGGGGTCTATGTGTCATCTGCGTGGGGCCTGTCATTCATTGTGCCTGGTATCATCATCGCTTCTGCTGGAGTCATCTGCTTTTTGTTCTTGGTTGAAAGTAAGTCACACACGTTAGATATATATGGGGAATTTGCCTGTTTATGCACACAGGCTGTTTACAGAATCGGGAACAGAAGGGAAACCGAAACAAAGTTTGTACATGAAATTACATGCACATAAATTTGCCATTACTTCAACCTAGATGGGTGTGGTTTTTTTTTTTTATTGTAACCACTTCTGATTACCATTTTACTAGTTAATATTCTGTGATAGAAACAGAATAGATAAAGACAACACAATATTAACTTTATCTGCAGTTATAAAAGGTATTTTCAACAAACCCAAGATTGATTTTGCAGAAAAAAAATGTGCAACCTCAGTCATAACAATTTGTTTTTACAGAACCTGAAGATGTGAACTGTACTCTACCACAACACCATGTGAGTTCACTTACAAGTAAAAAAAAATATGCACAATATTTTGCAGTATGACTCTTCTACCTGCATAACCAGCTAAACTGCAGTGGTCCCCTCCCAGCTATTTCATATGTGAGCAGAGTTTGTGTTTCTGTGATTTTCATGAGCACTGAAATTGCATTCAAACACAGATTTAATTATTTTGCCATTATTTGCAAATTGATTGTGTGAAAAGGCTTGCTAACACTCATTTAGTTACAATCAATAAAATATTTATTTTTTTGCCAAACTGAAAGCAAACTAAAATGTTAGCAGTAGATTTGGCCTGTTATTTGCAACAGGAGAATTGAGCCAGTGAATGTAACATTGTCATTCTGTGCACCTGTAGTTCACAACACTGTAGGAAAAAAAATGTGCAACCTCAGTCATAACAATTTGTTTTTACAGAACCTGAAGATGTGAACTGTACTCTACCACAACACCATGTGAGTTCACTTACAAGTAAAAAAATATGCACTATTTTCCAGTATGACTCTTCTACCTGCATAACCAGCTAAACATCATTGGTCCCCTCCCAGCTATTTCATATGTGAGCAGAGTTTGTGTTTCTGTGATTTTCATGAGCACTGAAATTGCATTCAAACACAGATTTAATTATTTTGCCATTATTTGCAAATTACAATCAATAAAATATTTAGTTTTTTGCCAAACTGAAAGCAAACTAAAATGTTAGCAGTAGATTTGGCCTGTTATTTGCAACAGGAGAATTGAGCCAGTGAATGTAACATTGTCATTCTGTGCACCTGTAGTTCACAACACTGTAGTGAATTTGGTTGAGAATGAGAAAGGACCTGAGAATTGAAAGCAGAAGTAATTGTGAACAGAAAGAAATCACAATCTGTGTAACGATCTGCAAGAGTGAGAAGAACTATGATAACGCTGTCTGTTGAACTCTGTTGATCTATGTGATTAACTATGTTGGTCTCAATGGTTAAAGGCTGGACAACTTATAAAATCTGAACAGATTTTAAACTCTAGCCATCATATACTTGCTGACATAGGAAAAACTAAACGAGTGAGGATCACACACTGACAGACTGTCAAATCCTTATAAACACAATAAATTCACACAGAAACTCGCGCCTCATTGATAGGAGACACATGGCAAATAAAAACGGTCTGTGTTCTAAAATCAGCTCAAAAATCAAACGTGTTTGATATCCTTTGACTGAAGCTATAAAAAAAAAAATTAGCACTCTGTGATGGCCAAAATCTGCAGGCTGTGACTTTCAGCAACTAGCATTGACTCCTCCAGACTGCAAATTGGGCAAAAATATGTGCAAAATTCGTGTAGTGTATTCCAGCCTACAATATGTGCTTAAAGTACTGTCACTTACTGTTCTTCTTTTAACAGACACAGTTTTACCTTCATTGATGTAACACTAACAGGCTCTAATGTGTTTAGGAGAGTGTGGAGCAGGAGCCTCTACTGAGGAACTCATCCAGTAATGAGGAGATCTTCAGCACTAACACCTCCACAGCTGTAGAGCCGGTGGAGGATCACACAGAAGCCATCAGCTTCTGCGCCGCGCTCAGGATTCCTGTGAGTGACCTGTTATTCTCAGTTTTACACCCACAGCTGTTAGTCAGCGTATATAAGGTGTTATTTTTAAGAGCTTGAGAGAACAGTCAATCCTGGGAAGTGTCTGGATTCTTGGATCACAAATCATGCTTTTGCTTTCCCAAACTATTTTTTTTTCTTTTTTCTTAAAAGATTAAAAGTTTTATCTAATGGTCTTTAACCAAAATACTCTGTTTGGGTCATTTTGACCCAAAGCGACAATTTTTGGATTTACTTTTATATATTTAGCAGTTGTTTCTTTATGCGAAGTATGAGGAATGCTACAAAATAAGCAATTCATCCTAATGAGTAACGTCAGAAAAGAAGCGGTATGATGTTGCAAATTTGGCTACAAATGGGTACAGAACGGTAACAGTTGCATTCAGTTGTTGCCAGGACAGAAGTAAATATCATAATGTCACTATTGCAAAATGTGCTGTCTTTATGCTGCAGGGTGTGGTGGAGTTCTCTCTGTGTTTGCTTTTTGCTAAGCTGGTCAGCTACACCTTCCTCTACTGGCTTCCTTTATACATCGCTAATGTCGGTAAGAAACATTCTTCAGATTCTCTCATGTTCACTCACTCTTGAACTGTCAAACAATTCCCTTCAAATTCCAACAAGTCACTGGGTCTGGTCTCTTCATTAGCTAATTTTGATCCTAAAAAAGCTGGGGACCTATCTACGTTGTTTGATGTTGGAGGAATTGTGGGTAAGCATGTGATATTTTAGAATATTTTAATAATTTTAGCCATAAGAAATATCTAAGTGTGATTCTTGAGAATGGTGGTTTTTATCTGTGTTAGGTGGCATCCTGGCGGGATTGATATCAGACTACAGTGGAGGCAGAGCCACTACTTGCTGTGCCATGTTGATCATTGCTGCTCCTATGGTGAGTCAAACTGTTCTTTTGTCCTTTTTTATTTTTTTTGCTCAAATCCAAACATCTGTTTCAACAAGATATTGCAGATTGATTTAATCTGTTAAGAGTATGTAAAAGCGTTATTAAAGGGGTCATGAACTGAGAAATCAAAATTCCCTTGATCTTTTGACATATAAGTGGTCATTGTACTATAAAAATATCCTGTAAGTTTCAGAACTCAAAACTTTCTTGTTAGTCTAAAAGCAGCTTATATTGAAGTCAGTCTGCCAAAACAACAGGTTGTGGAATGTGGCACTTTATGACGTAATAGTGTGGCTAAACACTGCCTCAACAGAAGACGATCAACGCCTGCTTCTACAGCACTGCCTGTTTAGCCCCGCCCACCGATTCGCGCATGTAGTGTAAATAACGAGAGAGACGAATGCAGGTCTATGCAGAAATCAAATGATAAAGATGGCTCCGAAGACAACAAGACACTGTACAGTGCCAAGTCTTGGCATTGCCTTCCTTCTGATCCTAACATTAGGAAAGAGTGGATGAACTTTTTTTTAATGAAGATCCAGACCACGTCCGTAAGAACTTGGTCCTTTGTTTAGTTAATTTTACTGCAGATTGACAACTGTTAGTCAATCATAGCGGTGGGTGTTTACTTCCGAGTCTACAATCCGCCACGCCTATTCATACAGTGCGTTCTGATGAGGGGGGTTAAAACAGGACAGAAAATAGCCTGTTACTTCTAAATTATGATGTTTTGATTTTGAAAAATCTTGATACCATTAATAAGTGGACCTCAGAGAACAGTACAAAATAATTTATTTTTTTTAAAGGCTGTTCATGACCCCTTTAAAACAGGTGCATGTTCTGCATTATGGACCGTAAAATTTAGACTTGGGAGTTTATTCCAGTTTTAATATGCAGTGGTTATGTCCAGTTATGTCTCTCCGTAATTGTTTGTCATAACAGATCGTGCTTCTTAAGCCCTATTCGGACGGGACTAATTTTACAGGGGGT